TAAGTGTGTTAGTATTAAAGATTTTAATTTGGGAAGGGAATCTACGTTAGAGATTAGTGTGTACAAATCATTGTAATTTGCACATAGCACTCTAAAAGGTTCATGCAGTTCAAAGGAGGTTCTACAGTGGCTCAAAACTAATGGGATATAGGATCTAGTAGTTCTACATGGTAGGATTCCAAACGCAGTATCCGTATTCTAAGATAGGACGAACTAAAGAAGTATATAAGGATTTAGTAACTTAGGGGTCATTGAATTCCTTCGACCACCGTTTAATAAATCCAAGCACACCCCTGACTCTATTCACCATAGACGCAATATGATCAATAAAGTCAAGTTTTGGGTCCAAGCGGACGCCCAAATCATCAACAGAATTAATTCTTTCCAGTTCAGCGTGTAAGTAGCAAGCTTAGGAACGACACGAGAGAATGTCACTAGCTTGCATTTAGAGCCATTTAAGTTTAATAAATTTACACGGCACCAAGTTTGAAAATTATTAAGATCTGATTGTAAATCCGACTGGCAGGCAACGTCATTGTATTGCACGCAAAGCTTAACGTCATCCGCGTACATAAGCACTCTGGAGTTAGTCAAAACTTTGGGCAGGTCATTTATAAATATTGTAAACAATAAGGGTCCCAAATGACTTCCTTGCGGGACGCCAGATGTAACCCTTAGAACATTGGATAAATTATTTTTAAAGAGGACGTTTTGCATCCTGCCATTCAAATAACTTGAGATCCAATTAAGAAGATCACTTGGAAAACCCATTAAATAGAGTTTTCTAACGAGGAGAGAATGGTTAACAGAGTCAAATGCTTTACTGAAATCAGTATAGATTACATCTGTCTGAAAATTATTATGGAAGCCCTTATAATATAGAAAGAGAGCTCCAAAAGATTTGTTGTTGTTGATCTTCGCTTAATAAAACCATGTTGACATGGAGAAATAACTGATCTACACAGGTGCTGTAAGTGAGGGGTGATAATGTTTTCAAATAATTTAGGGATGGCCGACAACTTAAAGATTCCTCTATAATTGCTGGTATCCAATTTGCTACCTTTTTTGTGGAGAGGAATAATAAACGATTCCTTCCAAATAATGGGAAAGTGGGAGGTTTCTAGGGACAAGGTAAACAATTTCAGAAGGGGATAGCACAGGGCGTCTGCACAATACCTAAGCACACAGCCAGGAATTCCGTCGGGACCTGGCGAATAAACTGGCTTGACACGATGAAGATCTAAAAGAAGAGAGCTTTCGTTTAGGCTAGGATAGAAAATTAAGTTTGATTTGGGTATGTCTTAGGAATAAGTCTGGTGTAAATACAAAGAGTTTGAATAAGTTGTTTAAAAAAACTGCGAAAATAGATACGATATTGCCTGATCATTACTTGCGGAAGTATTATCAAATGAAAGGGAGGAAGGATTTGTTCTAGGCTTACATTTAGTGTTAACAAAATTATAAAATTGTTTGTTGTTTTTTTTTGTTTATAACACTGCGCATTCAGCACGGTAAAGTTTGACCGATCTGATAAATAAGATGAAAAGGCAGATTGAGGACCGGTGAATTCAAATTTAGCATACAGTCTAGATTTTTTATTTTTAAGCCGGCTTATCTCTTTAGTAAACTACGGCGGCTTATTCAAGCTTGGCGGATAATATAACGGAACACATTCAGTAAAAAATGAATTCATGGCACTGTAAAAAATATCCACGGCAACTGCCATGTCAGTGCACATGTATAATTCGGACCAATTGAACTCGTTTATAAATTATTGAGCCGTTCAAAGTCCGTCTTGCGAAAACATAGGACTTTATTGGCTGGACGGTCAGAAATATTCTGTACGTCTCACCCAATATCAAGAGTCACATCGAAAGTTGGATGATAAGAATCTTCGGCTGCGACAGAGGCGCCACGCTTGCTAAACTGACTCTCGCAGGATCTGAGACGAAGCAAAGATCGAGCAAGCAGTGTAAGGAATTTCGAACACGGTTGACTTGAGACAGCGAAATGTCGAACAAGCCAGCTATAAAGTCATGTTGTGTAGGTGTATGGAGAGTATTGGTGGAATTATTTGAGCACCAAATAGCACCAGGGATATTCACATCCTTTGATAGATAGCTTCACACAGAGGAATTCAACATCGTTGCATTCCTCGAAGGTTAATAATTCTGACGTGAGTGAGGAGTCCACCGCTATTAGAACTCCACCCCGCGTCTGATAGGGCGATCTAGCCGATATACTGTGAACACAGCTGGAAAAACTTCGGAGCTCAGAATCTCCGGCTTTAACCAGGTTTCTGTGAGCACAATAACCTGAGATGCAAACGAAAGGCTATCAGAATACAAGTTAGGGAGCTTACTACGTAAGCCTCTTGCATTCTGATAGGAAATACCTAAGGAGTAGGTTAGTTTTTTGGGTGGGGATTGGAAGACGTAGAAGGCGCAGTGGTATCATCAGGCCTAGGAAGAGTTATTCCTACAGGCCGTTTTTTCTTTTTCTTCGCCTCGAACTCCTTAACAACGATGTACTCTGGCCAGAAGTTGGGAGAGCAAATAGTGTTAAAGAGATCGTTAGGGACATTTATTTTGAAGGATGAAATATCCCTAGCGTAAGAAATTTTAAACTTTTCCACCTTTATCCTTAATTTATCGGCTTTGGTGTTGCCTTGTATAAAGGCGAGAACATCTTCCGATGTTTGATCAGGGGAGAGCAGCGAAACAAAAATATGTCTCGTCGGTGGAACCGCTATAAGGGCTTTTGGCGAGGCAGATTGGCAGATTGTCGGCCGATATTTCGGGCATAACACCCTGGGCTGATATATTTGTGTGCACGTTACTTTGAGGGGTCAATATTTGGGACCCCCCAGGGGATAAAACAGAAATCGTCGGCGACACTCCCGCAGCACATTCGGATACCGAATCTTTTCTAGCGCTCGATCTCAGCACCATTGGAATTAATGCTGGAGTCGAGGGCTGTGCCGAGGGAGGCTCGGCTGAGAGCCCGTTGCATGTAGTTGGGGTCCTTCTGCAGGCTGCCCACCAATAGCAGTTTTTTGCGCCTAGGAAACTTATTTAATAGCGTGAGGCTATTAAATTGGGTGTCCAGCGCCAAGAACATATCAAGAGTTTTACGAAAACTCGATAAAATGTCCTCAAACCATTTTTGGTTTGCCGCATGAAAGACATCATCTCCTTTTCTACATCGCGACAGACCTGACAGCAGTAGCTCAGGCCGATGTTTTGTTTTTACATCGTCCACCGTCCGAGCTGCAACTCCAATACACTTGGCGTGCATGACGTTGTCGCACAGCCAACAGCCGATTTTAAGGTCACCTGCAGAAATAGCCTTCTTGCATGTTTTGGCGAAACAGACAATATTTACGGACATTATAAAGACTTAATACTGTTATAATTTTTAATTGAATTAATTTCTCGATCGTTCCTATCGGACCTATATACATATATAATAGTCGGATTTTCATAAAATTTTATACAAAATTGTAGAATAATATGAAATAGCTACATCTCAAATTTGATTAAATTCTGTTGAAAACGTAAAATGTTATAATATTTTTTGGAAAATTGTTCGATCATTCCTATGGCAGCTATATGATATAGTCGTCCGATCCGGCACGTTCCGGCATATATACGAGTGAGAGTATATAGAAGGCTTACTACAAAGTTTCATTCAGATAGCTTAAAAACTGAGAGACTAGTTTGCGTAGAAACGGACAGACGGACAGACGGATATGGCTAAATCGACTCGGCTGTTGATCCTGATCAAGAATATATATACTTTATATAGTCGGAGGTGCCTCCTTCACTGCGTTGCAAACTTCTGACTGAAATTATAATACCCTGCAAGGGTATAAAAACAACAGAGCTATGAAGAAAGAAGTGAAGAGTCGCAGCGAGAGCGAGAAAGCGGGAGAGCGGGAGAGCGTGGGAGATCAGATTAGATAAGAAGTGCAGCGGCACAGCTAAAGCGGGAGAGCGTGGGAGATAAATAGATAAGAAAAACGTTTAGCTGTTGCGACGGTGCAAACAAAAGCTAAACGAAGAAAGCACAAAAAGGAATGCAAAATATTCAAAAGCTAGCACTAGGAGCACAACTAAATTGGGAAATAAAACCAATTATATACACAAATTATGATAGCTGCATGCACACGCGAAGTGAAATTATAAAGAACAGAATAGAAAATTTAAGTTAACTCCGGTGGTTTCAAACTTTAACACAAAACGAGAGCGCAAGAAAAAAACACGTCCGTTCACTTGGAAAGATGATTGGATGTATGTATGTATGTATGTATTGAAAGGAGAATGTAAAATTCGTATGAATGCACTTTGGCACGAAGGCGGATAAACTAGCTTTGAACGATCAGAAGACCTATCGATAAAGGATTTCAGAGGTGATTCAACATTTTGGTGGGGCTTTGATATTGTTCTCCGGAGATTTTCGGTAAACACTTCCCGTCATCCCGGCTACAGCTGTCAATTAGGTTATTGCTTGCCTGAAAACGCCCTCTTTGTGGTGTCAAGTTAAGAAATTGAAATTTATTATGAACTTGAGAGTCACTTTACAAAATGACGCCTCTGCTGCTGAATTCTCAAGACAACTGTTGGCGCTTGGCAATGGAAATATTCCTATAGATGTCTCGACTGGATTGACAACGTTACAGGCAATTTTTGCAAATTCCTGTCATTGAAATACATAATACAAATACAAAAATATTGTTTACCGTATCGTTGTCAGCTGATGAGTTTCAAATAAATTTTTTAGAAATTTTAATTATCTGCATTTTATTATCACTCTGGAGTTAAATGAAACATCAATTAAAGGACGGACAAAGTGCGCCCGGACAACTAGTGCAATATATTTTATTTTATAGGAATACGATTGAAGCCTGTATTTATTATTGTGGTACATTTTTTATTATGTAATATAAATACAATACTTAATTAAACGTACTCAGCTTGAACAATATTTTGATTCATATCAGGCTTTGTATCGTCTGGGTCCAAGCTTAAACAATTTGAAAAAAATTGTTCCATTGACGAATATGCATGTTCCAAAACACCATCTAAATTGTGACCTTCATCTGCATAAGTCTGAAAATATATGTAGTCAATACCATATCCACCAATACGTTTAAAGCATACCTGGTAACGATAAAGTATATTTGCATTTGTTAACGATTTAGCTAATTTAACTCCATGTACAAAGGGGGCAGAAGAATCGGCTAAGCCATGCATCAAAAAAAAAGAATTGGATTTAATAAGTAGAGCACGCTGAGTAGCATCTGCCTCAACGTATCCTTTAAAATTCTCTAAAGGCAGACCTAGTACTCGCTCAGTGAAGGCAGAATCTGATAAATATCAATGTTAGGTATTAAAACAAAATCTCTTTAGTCTTACTGTAGTAGAGCCAATCTGCTATCGGGGATATAGCAATGCCGCACTTAAACACATCCTGTTGAGTACCGAGTACCATAGAAGCTACATAGCCACCGTAGCCTCGACCCCATATACCTACTCTTGTTTCGTCTAGAAGCCAATGGTATCAAGCAAATACCTTTAAAAAGTAATCCGGTTGAAAAAGTTCATCCCGAACATTTTATTACAACTTACCTTAAGACAGAAATTTGGTCTAAAACTTCAACTCCTCCCAAACGACGGTAAAGAGATTTCCTACTTTGCCCCTTTGCGCCTCTTACATCTAGGCGAACATACACAACATCGTTCCGCGATGACATATACGTTCCCCAATCTATACTAAACTTCTCGGAAATGGATACTGTACCAGGACGACCATTCCTGAAAAATACAAATATTTGAAGTTATTCACTTGTTGTGTGTATCATTTGTGTATAACATATGGTAAAATGACATAAAATAATATAGAGTTGAGTGAGAGCAATAAACTCAGTTGAACAATAGGATATCGACCTTCGCGGCCTGTTGGCTTACTACATTTAGTATAAAGAAGTGAAAACTATAGAAATCATTTGGCAAAACAGAGATCTATCTATATTTTTAGATGAGATGGTGCGGTTAAACGAAATCCCAAGTGAACAAAATGGACGGTGATTTTATTTTATGTATTTTAATACATAGAGCATAAAGTGTTTTTTATTTATACCCTTTCAAAAGGGTTATGTGAATCAACATTTTGCAAATTATTTTTGACCCAAAGACTATCAACAGCGGAGTCGATCCATCGCGTGACCCAATCGTCATCAGTCTGTCCATCTAAGCATATATGTAGAATATGTCGGAAATGGTCGAATGTGAAAAAGATTCACTCTCATAGATTTTTCGGTATGTTATTAAAAACAGAATCCTCCTCCGAGAAATTAATATCTCTGAATAATTAAAATTTCCAAAAAGGTCTTAAAAACGTACCAAACAAATGTGACTATAACGACAAGAAAATGTTTCGGAAAATCAAAAAAAATTATGGAAGCCCTGTTGTTTGTTTTATTTGTTCCGAAATGTATCAAAAGGTATGGAAATATAAAGGAAAGGAGTGCCTTCTTTAATAATACCTAACATACCCATGCTAATTCAGGACCCAAATAAAATTTAACTATTCCTAACAATGTAACATCATTTCTATGCAGTACAAGCGTTAAGTTGGGAGTCCTTTTTTTCGCTCTACCTTCTCACAAATTTTTCACTGTGATAATCTATTCTATTAGCCAAATTTTTTGGTAAATGGTCAGTGTTTTTGTGTTCTTTTTCAACCCAAAAAAGGTGGATTATTTCAAATAAAGACAGTGACTTTAATATTGCTAGACTAATTCAGTCTTACACATTTCCCAATTTGGTTATTTTTTTTTTGTATTGTACATTGTACTTTCCGCTTATCGCTGCAGCGCCTTAATGTTGTTATTGGAGCAAGTGATCTGATTAAGCCGAATAATAACACCTACTTTTTATACCCTTGCAGGGTATTATAATTTCAGTCAGAAGTTTGCAACGCAGTGAAGGAGGCACCTCCAACTATATAAAGTATATATATTCTTGATCAGGATCAACAGCCGAGTCGATCTAACCATGTCCGTCTGTCCGTCTGTCCGTCTGTCCGTTTCTACGCAAAACTAATCTCCAGTTTTGAAGCTATCTGAATGAAACGTTGCAGTTAGTCATCTATATACTCTCACTCGTATATATATCGGAACGGGCCGGATCGGACGACTATATCATATAGCTGCCATAGGAATGATCAGAAAATTATTAAAAAAAATAATAATAACATTTTTAATTTCAAAAGAATTTGATCAAATTTGAGATATGGCCATTTCATATTATTTTATTTTATTCCAAATTTTATGCAAATCGGACTACTATATCATATAGGTCCCATAGGACCGATCCAGGTATTAATACAATTGAAAATTATAACTTTTCCAGTTTTCAACAGATTGTTTTAAATTTGAGATATAGCGGTTTTATATTATATTACAATTTTTTGTAAAATTTTATGAAAATCGGACTTCTATATCATATAGCTTCCATAGGAAGGATCGAGAAATTAATACAATTAAAAATTATAACTTCTCCAGTTTTCAACAGATTTTCATCAAATTTGAGATATAGCTAATTTATATTATTCTACAATTTGTGTAAAATTCTATGAAAATCGGACTACTATATCATATAGCTTCCATAGGAAGGATCGAGAAATTAATACAATTAAAAATTATAACTTTTCCAGTTTTCAACAGATTTTCATCAAATTTGAGATATAGCCTTTATCATATTATTCTACAATTTTGTGTTAAATTTTACGAAACTCGAACTACCATATAATACAGCTGCCATAGAAACGATCAAGAAATTAATACTATTGAAAATTATAACTTTTCCAGTTTTCATCAGATTTTCATCAAATTTGAGATATAGCCTTTTTATATTATTCTACAATTTTATGTTAAATTTTACGAAACTCGAACTACCATATAATACAGCTGCCATAAAACGATCAGAAATTAATACAATTAAAAATTATAATTTTTCAGTTTTCAACAGATTTTTATCAAATTTGAGATATAACTAATTTATATTATTCTACAATTTCTGTAAAATTCTATGAAAATCGAACTACTATATCATATAGCTACCATAGGAAGGATCGAGAAATTAATACAATTAAAAATTATAACTTCTCCAGTTTTCAACAGATTTCCATCAAATTTGAGTTATAGCTAATTTATATTATTCTACAATTTGTGTAAAATTCTATGAAAATCGGACTACTATATCATATAGCTTCCATAGGAAGGATCGAGAAATTAATACAATTAATAATTATAACTTTTCCAGTTTTCAACAGATTTTCATCAAATTTGAGATATAGCCTTTTCATATTATTCTACAATTTTGTGTTAAATTTTACGAAACTCGAACTACCATATAATACAGCTGCCATAGAAACGATCAAGAAATTAATACTATTGAAAATTATAACTTTTCCAGTTTTCATCAGATTTTCATCAAATTTGAGATATAGCCTTTTTATATTATTCTACAATTTTGTGTTAAATTTTACGAAACTCGAACTACCATATAAACAGCTGCCATAGAAACGATCAAGAAATTAATACAATTAAAAATTATAAATTTTTCAGTTTTCAACAGATTTTTATCAAATTTGAGATATAACTAATTTATATTATTCTACAATTTCTGTAAAATTCTATGAAAATCGAACTACTATATCATATAGCTCCATAGGAAGGATCGAGAAATTAATACAATTAAAAATTATAACTTCTCCAGTTTTCAACAGATTTTCATAAATTTGAGATATAGCTAATTTATATTATTCTACAATTTGTGTAAAATTCTATGAAAATCGGACTACTATATCATATAGCTTCCATAGGAAGGATCGAGAAATTAATACAATTAAAAATTATAACTTTTCCAGTTTTCAACAGATTTTATCAAATTTGAGATATAGCTAATTTATATTATTCTACAATTTGTGTAAAATTCTATGAAAATCGGACTACTATATCATATAGGTCCATAGGACGATCGAGAATTAATACAATTGAAAATTATAACTTTTCCAGTTTCAACATATTTTTAAACTTTAGATATGCGTTTTATATTATTCTAAATTTTTGTAAAATTTTATGAAAATCGGACTTCTATATCATATAGCTTCCATAGGAAGGATCGAGAAATTAATAAATTAATAATTATAACTTTCCAGTTTTCAACAGATTTTCATCAAATTTGAGTATAGCTAATTTATATTATTCTACAATTTGTGTAAAATTCTATGAAAATCGGACTACTATATCATATAGCTTCCATAGGAAGGATCGAGAAATTAATACAATTAAAAATTATAACTTTTCCAGTTTTCAACAGATTTTCATCAAATTTGAGATATAGCCTTTTCATATTATTCTACAATTTTGTGTTAAATTTTACGAAACTCGAACTACCATATAATACAGCTGCCATAGAAACGATCAAGAAATTAATACTATTGAAAATTATAACTTTTCCAGTTTTCATCAGATTTTCATCAAATTTGAGATATAGCCTTTTATATTATTCTACAATTTTGTGTTAAATTTTACGAAACTCGAACTACCATATAAGACAGCTGCCATAGAAACGATCAAGAAATTAATACAATTAAAAATTATAATTTTCAGTTTTCAACAGATTTTTATCAAATTTGAGATATACTAATTTATATTATTCTACAATTTTGTAAAATTCTATGAAAATCGACTACTATATCATATAGCTCCATAGGAAGGATCGAGAAATTAATACAATTAAAAATTATAACTTCTCCAGTTTTCAACAGATTTTCATAAATTTGAGATATAGCTATTTATATTATTCTACAATTTGTGTAAAATTCTATGAAAATCGGACTACTATATCATATAGCTTCCATAGGAAGGATCGAGAAATTAATACAATTAAAAATTATAACTTTTCCAGTTTTCAACAGATTTTTATCAAATTTGAGATATAGCTAATTTATATTATTCTACAATTTGTGTAAAATTCTATGAAAATCGGACTACTATATCATATAGTCCATAGGACGATCGAGAATTAATACAATTAAAATTATAACTTTTCCAGTTTCAACAGATTTTTTAAATTTAGATATGCGTTTTATATTATTCTAAATTTTTGTAAATTTTATGAAAATCGGACTTCTATATCATATAGCTCCATAGGAAGGATCGAGAAATTAATACAATTAAAATTATAACTTTCCAGTTTTCAACAGATTTTCATCAAATTTGAGATATAGCTATTTATATTATTCTACAATTTGTGTAAAATTCTATGAAAATCGGACTACTATATCATATAGCTTCCATAGGAAGATCGAGAAATTAATACAATTAAAAATTATAACTTTTCCAGTTTTCAACAGATTTTCATCAAATTTGAGATATAGCCTTTTCATATTATTCTACAATTTTGTGTTAAATTTTACGAAACTCGAACTACCATATAATACAGCTGCCATAGAAACGATCAAGAAATTAATACATTGAAAATTATAACTTTTCCAGTTTTCAACAGATTTTCATCAAATTTGAGATATAGCCTTTTATATTATTCTACAATTTTGTGTTAAATTTTACGAAACTCGAACTACCATATAATACAGCTGCCATAGAAACGATCAAGAAATTAATACAATTAAAAATTATAACTTTTCAGTTTTCAACAGATTTTTATCAAATTTGAGATATACTATTTATATTATTCTACAATTTTGTAAAATTTATGAAAATCAACTACTATATCATATA